GAGGTCGGTTAAATTAGGGCAAAGTTGCGCATTTTTGTGCTGAACAATAATCTGAAAGAAAATTGAATGTGGCATTTTTAATTTTTTAATTATAGGAAAAAAACGGAAATTTGTAATTTTCGTTTTTATTTTTTCAAGCGAAAACTAAAAGACCTAGACGTTTTTAACTAAGACGTCCTTAAGGCACTTTTTTACAAGGAATCTAAATCTGTCATCGCATTTTCCAAGGTGCTCTTGATGTCAGAGTTACAACATTCAACTTTAGATTTTCTTATAGACGCCATATTCGAAATCTCTATTTTTGAAGAGTCGTTTTGTTTCTGATTACAACGATGTATCAAAGTTTACATGCTATTTAAAATTAAGGAAGAGCGCTTTAAGGAAGAATGCTTTGGAAAAAACAACAATTATATATATTATAATTAACAAATTAAATTTTTACAGTTTAATTAATATTGCAAACAGATCATCTTTTATAACTTTGTGTTCTTTTGTTTTGCCAAGAACAAATTCTAGTTTATCACGTTGTTCCTATTTTAAAACCTTGGTTTTTAAGTAGGTAATCTTGACGGAAATGTGACATTCAGATTTAACTGTACTGTCAAAATCTAGTTTGTTAATTAAAATTGTTGGTATTTTTTCCAAAGCACTCTTCTCAAAAACGCTTTTTCTTAATTTTGTCAGCATATAACATTTAATTATATCGTGTGATACATCTTCGTAATCAGGAACAAAAAGACTTTTAAAAAAATCAGTAATTAAATACGAGTATGGCGTCCATAAGAAAATCCAAAGTTGAGTGTTGTAACGCTGATATCAAGAGCGCCTTGGAAAATACGATGACAGATTTAGATCCTTTATAAGAAAGTGCCTTAAGAACATCCTAGTTAAAAACGACTAGGTCTTTTAGTTTTTGCTTGAAAAAATAAAAACGAAAATTACAAATTTTTGTTTTTTCCAATAATTCAAAAACTAAAAATGACACATTAAGTTTTCTTTTATATTATTGTTTAGCATAAAAATGCGAAATTTTGCCCTAATTTAACCAATCCCGTATCTCTTATAATAACTGAGATCCCCATGGTGGAGCTCGAAAAACGAACACCCTGTATAAGAAAGAAGTTACATAACATTTTCACAGCGCTTAATACAAGTAAAGAAGACTTTGTTTATACCTAAAAAGAAAAACGTGTTTTAAAGCATTTGTATTGAACTAAATAAATAACAATTGTGCACTTGTTTGCGGTTAAAATTTGCGCTAGTATTACCGTATTTAAATTTTCTCTATGAATAACGGCAAATACATGCGGTGGCATCCACTGCAACAAAGTTCTTAATGCTAATTACGTGATTAGAATCACCCCGAAAGAAGCCCACTAGCACAGCTAATGTATTCATGAAGCGACTTTTATGTTTGCCAATTAAACAAATGCTGTAAAGTCGGTTTTACCAATCTGCTGGTTCAAGCAAATTGTGTCAATATTACGCATCCCATACGTGTTCCAACATTTAAACGCGCACCCAGTTGATGATAATTTGCGCTTTCCATTACAATTTTTCAACCGAAAATATGATATAATGATTTGTTTTTCTGACAGAACTCAATTGTTTGACAAAATTTTCTTTTCGTTGATAATTGAGAAAATTGGTGAAATTGGTCAACGCAAGAGGATTTTAATCATCTGCATGCATATATAATTGGGTTCTCATTTCTGAGAAAATTAGTAAGAGTTTTAAGACTGAAGAAAGCGGCCGCAGACTTGTCATAAATTATTTACACTTTGTTTCAATCCGGAACTATCTCTACGGATACCTTAGATGGGAATGCTTTATATTCGACAAGGGTGTAGCCAGAAATTTTAAACGTAGGAGGATGTGGACAATAATTTATAGCAAGTAATTTCTGGAAAAAATGCCCGCAACAAAATCATCTTTTATATCCTCTCAAAAAATATCAAAATGATTTGCAGTTATTCAAAATCAATGTCAATTGTCTTTAACTTTTTTAACATGTTTACCATTTACGAATCAGCAAAATAGTAAATGGTTGAGAAAGTTTCGTTAGGAGAAACACCATGTATGTGTAAGAGTATTTTCAACTTCAAGTTTTAAATTAGTGCTTTAATTTAAGTTAACAAAGTTGTAACCACATTTAGTCGCTATTTTGCTTTGAACATGCAATTAAATTAGAGATAAAATTCCCCAATGAGGTCTATAATTAATGATCTAATTCATAATTTTATTGTTTCAGGTAAATTGGTTCTGCTGTCGTGAGTGGCAATCATTAAAAGTTTCGTCTATCATTTTTCTTTTTGTCGCCTTTCGATTGCTAGAAGTTCTTGTAAGTTATTTTATTTCAGCAAGTTATTTTATTTGCAGTAACAATTGTTATTTCAGGTTTCAATTGCTTTTCGTTACGAAATTTAATTTAGATAAGATCTTTATTGCTTTCTAACATTTCAGCTTCGAAAGGTCCGTTTAAACTATATAAATAAAATCAGTGTAGTGTAATAATGAATTAGATAAACTCGACTCAAAGTGTTCAAATATTTGTGGACCGGACCCTCCCTAAATCAATGTTTATCTAAGTGTGTTCTAATTATAAACATTGTTGATTAGTATGGTGAATTTGAATGTGATGCTGCATTGCATATGCGGTGATATCTGGTCATGCTGATTGGTCGATCAGTGATAGCAAAATGGAGGTGATATGTGTGCTGATGCTCGTTTGGAGTACACTGGCATCAAATGCTCTGCCACCTGTCATTCGCATTGGTAAGTTTTGTAATTATTTCACTTTTAAATCTGTTAAAAATCAATTAATATACAAATGTAAAAAATGGTGGATGCGCCGGGATAAACAGTTTTTATTCTATATTCGTATATTCAAATTTTTTTTCGTTTAAGGGTTAAACGAAATCACTTTTTTATACAAATCTAAAAAAACTTCTTTGATGTTTTAAGCTTATATCCGAGTTTATTTATTACCACGTTTTATTTTACGCTTTGATCTTCTTTAAAGTCAAATGTATCAAATAAAAAAAGCATTAATAACATTTAATTATAAATGTAAAAACTTGAAAATAGTTATTTATTATACAGGGTACGCCCCAGAGAAAATTTTCAAGTAAGGTAAGATACCAGGAACATGAAAAAAATGTTTAAAAAATTCTAGCTGTCAAAAAATTTTGAGTTTTATTTTTTGACATTTGACATTTTTTTATATCTATTTAATGATACTGATTGATAATCTTGTATATGTTTTTTTAGAATGATTTGATAAAGGGACAAAAATTTTGCCAATAAAGCCTCAAATAACATTGAACAGAGTTACAATTTAAGATACAGCTTCCTTATTTCCTGTTTTAATAGCCTATATCAAAAAAACTTGAAAAAATATTTTTCCAACAGAAATAGAGTCAAAGTGCAAACTTTAAACTCTCATAACTTCGAAATTTTTATAGATAAAATTTTTTTAACATTTTTTCCATGTTCCTGGTATCTTACCTTATATGGCATTTTTCTCTGGGGTGCGAGTTCTGGCGCATCCTGTATAAGGCGATAAAGAGGTTGTTTATATACGAGTGAAAGGGTTATTTCACGAGTAGATAAACAATCTTTATCGTCGTGTCTAATACAACATTTTTTTCTATAGCAGGACAAATTCAAAAGCAAAAATAAAATTTCAAAGAATATTACAATTTTTGGCAAATTGTGTTACTAGGAGTTACTAAAACACTTTATTTACCCTTGCTGTTAAAGTGCTACTTTATCTACTCAAAAGAGTTGATAAAGAAATAGTTTAACATTTGCTATAGAAAACAAATATTGATCGAAAATTTTATTTGTACCAAGTTTCTGTTTGCTTTTGCAGAAGAAATAAAAAAGAATCCTAAACGTCGCAAATGTTTTGATTCCAGAAGCTCTAACAAGATTATTTTTGTTTTGTAGGTATTGAAGTTTAAATGAAATTTTTGAAATTCTATAGTAAAAGGCACCTAAAGTACCGAAGTAGGGGATTATTTGTCCGGAGTTTTTGATCATTTTATAAAACGATCTAATTGTAATTATAAGCAAATTTCAATTAAATTATAGAAAGATATTCAGAAAGCAATTACTGAATTCCCAGCAGTTAAACCTCAATGACGTAAGCAATTAAATTTGTTAAACTTGTCTGAACTTCTCTCAGTTCGTTTCTAATTAATATCTTGTGCTTTTTTGCCAATTTAGCTTCAGAAGTTATTAATTAATCGCAAAACAGAGCGCAGCATTGATACGAAACTTAAAATATTTGTCCATTGAGTGTTTAAACATTTTCCTAATTAAATTTAGCAATTTGCAAGAACATTAAAAGGAGAGTTGGGACGTTTTATTTAATTTCCATGAAAAAAGTGGAAAAATAGCACGGCTCCTATTAACCTTTGACCGTTTTGGCAATTTGTCTGAGGTCTAAATCTAATGAAATTATCCAAGTCCTTTCATCGCAAATTTGAAGCAATCATTTCCTGGCCGTTACGTTAGAGTCTCCAGTTATCGCCAGCTGACTAATTCTTTTGCGGTAAGTCGAATTGCTTACATCACATAAAACTTCGGAATAATTTACGCAATGCAGGAAAAATCTTCGGAATTCAAACATCGACTTTTTTATTCAAACCCCGTTAAGACAAGACAATTAGAACGCTCGGATAAAGATAAGAGAGGAAATATATTCTTTGAAGGGGGTACAAAAAAAAATGGTTTGGCAGAATAATGCTACTTACTGACGTTATTTACACAGATGTCGAATTGAAAATTTGAGTTTTTAATTTGTTTCAGCAGAATGGCATTTTGATTAAAACGTTACATCGTCATTTGGTGAAATCGCTAATTACGAGATGTTTCTGCTTAGTATGAATGAGCAGATTATTCGTATCTTTTAATTTGTGCGGTTTTATTTAACAAACCACTCGTTTGGGGTTTGCAATTCGTTTCGGTGATAATCTGCAACCGGACGCTTTTTGCTTTGCTGTGCGGACATCACGCCCTAATAGATTTATACCTAAAAGCTTATAAATTTGCCGGGTGTTGCTATTATCAGCCACGGATGCAGAAAACTCAATTAGTGTGAGAAAATGTACATTTGCACGAGCTTTATCTAGATATTGTAATATCCTCAACTCTTTCACCCTGCGAATTTCTTTACTTAAAAAAAATGCCTTTTTACGAGTTACAAAATTGTTAACATCTGTCTTTGGTACTTACCGTACTCAATGGGTCCGCACCCCACGAGTATCACCCCTCCAGCTGGGGGTGTATCTTATGTCCAGTTGTACACAAGAGTTTGAGTGACAACATATTACAAAAGACTCCCTTATCATTGATACGGGAAACTTTTGTAACCCGTGAGAGGGACAAGTTGTTTTTGTAATAAATTTAAATCATTGCACATTATTGTCATTAACGGATCAGTAACGTCTGGGTCAAAAGTCAATTTAAGTAATTTTTTTAAGACCCTAATCGAAAGTAAGTTTTTCCACCCTAAGTTTAAAAAGGAAATTACTTCCCAGGTAAGATTTTTAGTTTCCTCATCTGTCAAAATTACAATAATAGTTTGTTAAGCTACAAGAAATGTAAGGGCATTATAACATTTGGGGAAAAATTGTACGTACCGTGGTGAAACTGAAGCCCCGTTTATTCTTCCGTGAAAATTTAGTCCTTACATCCTGTGTCGCTTATTACATTTTTTCCGCTACCGATTATTACCATTGACCACATTAAATTATCACACAAATTGGCGACATACTAGTTGACGTCTAATTTTTAAGTTACCTACGAAAGTTGCTATGTAAACATAATAAATATTTTATGAAAAAAAAACTTGTGCGACGACCCGCGAGAACTGTTTTTTTCTAAAAAAACCATTAAATAGGGAAATAGATGAAGCTGCAAATATTCCATGTTTGGATTTACTGCCATCGAAATCCAGAAAAAATACGAATGTTTTTCAAAAATGGTTACGTTCGAAAAATGTATCAGATATAACTAAAAATGTGATGCTGGCTTATATGGCTGAATGGTCTGTGAAACTAAAGTCACCGACACTTCATGAAGAAAATGTGGACATCTTTAAATTTCCAAAATGAGTCAGTTTGTAATAAATTGGAATCAGCTAACAAGATGTTTAACAATAAAAGTGGGTACCGAAGACAAAACTTTAACAACAACAGTAAGCATCTTCACACGAAAGAACCAGAAGCCATAAAAAAGGGGTTCTGTTTCTGAAGTCCAATTCAAGGTCCAATCAACTTCTGGTCTCGCATCTGGTGCATCTGTATCTTTTCAAAAACAAACAATAATCATTTGTTGGACAGTAAACATTCAGTTATTAAAAATTCAGCTTTTTCATAATAATAAATAATTTTCATAAATATCTTCATTTCTTACTGTGAAGTAATTTTTCTATTTGTGTTGTCATCATCTTCATTTAAATAAAGCAGGATTTTATTTCGATACTCTTAATTTGTAAACATGCTACTGTGAGCAGCAATGCATTGATTTGTATTTTTTCAAATTAAAAAATGTCTCTGGATACGTAACACCTCAGAAGACTAGTTTATTGATAAACAGTAATAAAATATAGATTGAAACTATTGAAAATGCAACAACAGAATTGAATAAAAGTTTTTGTGCTTGGTCTTGTCAGAGAGAAATGTTAATTCGTCTATTTTCCATTTTCTAATTACTCGAAGCGATTAAGAGAAAAAGTTTAATGCTTATCTTATAATCTGCAAGTGGGAAATATTGAATCGAATCTTTAGCAGTTCCATTAAAAAGTAATTACAGTACAGAAAGAAATTCTGTACTTCTTGTTATTGCAGTATCATAGCGGTAATTTATTCTGGATTCTGTAAAAGTAGTTTCGATCAGTCTCTTCCGGGTATCATTTATTCCGACTTTGGCCTAGATTTAAGTAAATTTGCTATTTCTAGTCTCGATCTGTAAGTATACTATTTTCAATCCCGCTAGACATTTTCCATGTTTCGAATAATATTTCGGATCATAAATTTTCTAAATAGTGAGATTGGCTAAGGTGGCAAGTTTGTTGGGAAAAATGCGATGCATTATATGATATGAATTTATTATTCTGATCGGGTTACGGTGTCACGCTCAGGCGATAGGTCATTTATAAATCGCTTATAAAGTGGGCTAAGTGAGGCAAACATGTAGAGTTAAATTTGGAGAGAAAATCAGAACAAACAAAGATATATGCGGAGTGGGGTAGGATTGGGACATCGGATAAGCAAAACCGCAATAAATCTTGAGTGTGCCGCAGACTTGGGAAGTCGACTACACTTGAGGTCGACTGAAACCAAAAGCACAGTTCAACCCAATCGGTTCGGAGAATGAGCTTTTGTCAGGGAACAATAAGACGACAGGACAGACCTACTGACACGCAAAGCAAAATCGCATTATTTAAGTTATTTTGTTTCGCTTTACATCCATCTTCCACTTTCCGATCCGAACTAATTGTCTATGATTTTTCGCTAAATTAACAAGAAACATCCGTCGAACAAGACAAAAGGCTGTTTTTACGCCTTCTGGCTCCTCTTCATTAATTATCTTCTCTGTCTTCCGCTGGCGCACTCGTTAGACTAGAAATTATAAAGTGAACTTTTTAAACCTTATTACACCATACCACAAAAACGTTAATTGCAACCTTTGTTCAATCTCAAACTTCATTTGCCCCTTTTATTCCAAGCCTTTCAACAACCCCAAAATATTGTTGATATTTTTTA